AATTGCAAGCAAATTGTGGGGCCTTTGTGGAGGTTGTTATCCTGGAACACCTTAGTAGTGGGGAATGGGCACTTTGTATGAATGAAATAAATGGGGGCAAGTGTATGGTGCCATTGGGTGGTGAAGTCTGAGTACCCATCCAACTGGCACAGGAAGGATATATTTGATGGTCTTCTGAATTCTTTACAGGTACTATGGCTCCTAAAAGGCAAAGAAGATCGGCAGGCGCATCCCAACGGCCTACATATGATGAATCCAGGTTCCAATCAGAACTAGTGGAGGACGACTTTCATGCCAAGGTTACGAAGAACTTCATCCATAAGATCTCGCTTGACCGGGCAGCCCTCCGCGTAGAAAAGGCAGAAATGTATGAAGAAATTCGAAGGAGGGAAATGGAATTCTTATTTGATGACCCTGCCCCGGTCAACAAGATACTTGTTAGGGAGTTTATGCCAACTGCCCATTGAACTGAAGTAGGGGGTGATTGTGCGAGGCAAGGTGGTCAGCGCCACAATTCCCATGATTCGCCAGGTGTTGCGGCTGCCTCAATTCACTAGTGACATTGACTACTACCACGACAGGCCAGGGGTCACATGGGAGGTCATGACTGATATACTCTGTGCAGAGGGGCGGCCAACATGGATACATGACCAAATCACCCTGAACTCCAACTCATTCACACACTTGGCTAAGTGTTGGTTAACTGTCATTTGCAGCCGGTTCCTGCCCTCAAGCAACACAACTGACGTGAACTTCCAGCGTGCACTGTTGACATAGTGCTTCGTGACGAAGAAGGATTTTGATGCGGTAAGGGTAATTAGTGATGAAATGGTCCTACGGGGGCCGCTGCTGTCAAAGGGATTCTACTTCCCTTCTTTGGTGACTACACTGTGCCTGCTGAAAAATACCCCACCAATCCTGCCGATGGAGACTTGCCCCCTAGAGCAGCATTCAGAGCCTCAAGCATCAGAGTGGGCCGGGGTACACGTACCACAATTGAGATAGATGATGAGGATGATGATCCGGTTCCTCTTGCACCGTCCAGGAGGTCTACTGACAGTGCCGGACCATCTCGGCGCCCCCATTCTGGAGCAGGCCTATCCCGCTCACAGTCCTCCCAGCCTATGCTGCGTTCCTTGGAGGAAGAGGTCGCGGATCTCCGCACCTCGGTGGATGGCCTACACACGCGGATGGATGCCATGTCGCAGAGGCAGTCTAGATCTGAAAGCCGGTTTATGGCCTGGTTACGTGCATTGGGGAGAGCTTGCCATGTAGACCCCAGCACCATCTCCGACTCTGATTGAGTCTCAGGGAAGTCTTCTGACCCTTCTGCTCTTTGATATGACATGGGGACATGCCATGATTTTAAGTGTGGGGTGGGATACTTGCTCTGATTGTGTGTTGTAATGTATATAGACGTTGTTGTGCTGTAGCAATAGATTGATGTGTTGTATATATTTGAGTGTGCTTATATTAAGAGTAGCTGACTTGGCCCAACAACGGACACTTGTCGACGGGTCTCTTGAGGGTCAAAGTCGGAATTAATGTAAACTGAAAACAAGTTAGAGGACTCTTCCTGAGGACGGACCACTTGGACAGTAATCTTGAGGGAAGTAGTCCATGTAGAACTTTTATTTTTTTATTTTTTCTCTTCTAGGTAGTGTAATACTTCCCCCTTGGTTTTTCTTTTGACCACGGTTCTTTTCCAAGGGCTTTTCTTGAACCGGGTTAGGTAGATTTTCCTTTTGTAGTTTTAGGACTAAGATGGGTGAAGGCTAGAATACAACCTCTGATATGCACACTTGCAGATAACTAAAGAACTTGAGAGTGTGACGTCTAGTCTCGCTTGTGGACTCGTAAATCCATGCCTTACTGTTGCACATCTTGTCTTGCTTGAATGCTCGTATGAGTGTGTTGATGAACTGATTCGGAATGAGTTGCATGCTAAGTGAGTGGGAGATATTACTTGCATTCTGTGCTTGCATGCGATACCTAGAACTTGCCCTGTGTGTTTGCAAAGCGAAATAGAAGTTGTTTGGTTTTAGAGATGATTGAGGCATTTCTTTGTGCAACCCTATATAATTGTGAATCCACCAGTATATCTTGCCATAGTTAACCCCTTTGAGCCTGAAGCCTGTTCTTTGATAACCCTATAATGACCTAAATCTCTGTGTTGAATAGCTTGATTGTTTGAACCTATACCTCCTAGAAGCGCTTGAATCACTAAAGAACATACAAAAGTCAAAGTGTGGGGGTAGTAGGGAGTTAGTTTCAAAATTGGTGCACAGGAAAAAAAAAATATGAGCCAAAGAAAACCAAATAAGAAAAAGAAAAAAAAAAGAGAAGCCAGTTGCACCTAAAGAAAAGTGGGGGGTCACATGTGAAACAAAGATGTGGAAGAACGATTGGGCTGAGCATGGAAATTGAAATAAAAGGAAGTATGTATTAAAAGTGCTTAGGGAGGTTAGTCACTATATCTAAATATATCCTACCCGTCCCTTAGCCTACATTACAACCAAATGAAGACCTCTTGATCTTTGACTGAACAACTCAATTAGTAGAGTATTACACTAGGGGCAAGCTTATGGTGTGTCTGTGTAGCATATAAATGCTCCTTGCTGAGAGTGAGTGAATTCTTTCTATCCTTGGTTCCTTATTGTGTGAATTTTATGTGTGGGGAACTTCTCTTAAACTTGTGATGTGAGGGCATGTGACTCAGGAAGAAAAGTAAATCTTCACTTCTGTTAGAGTAACTAGAGTGAGCACGAGTGTGTCACGGCATGAGAGTCTGCATCTGAGGTATGATTGTTGCATTGCTTAGGTTGGTCCTTCGTAATGGCGAGTGTGGCATATATTGGAGTAATGTATCAACGGTTAGGCCTAGAAGTATGGTTTAAATTGCTCGAGGACGAGCAAAGGTTTAAGTGTGGGGTGTTGATAATAGGTGAATTTAACTATAATCACGCCTTAAATAACCACCTTCTTGTATAGTTTTGATGATAAAAGTGATAACAAAATGCTCTTATTAGTGCTTTTCATGATTTGCAGGTGATATATGATCAGGGAAGGCTAGGGAGTATTTTTGGAGTCAAAAATGAAGAAAAAGAGGCCAACTGTGAAATTCCCCAAGGAAACCACGCAAAACAGGCCTGAAGATTCAGAGGACTGGGTTGACCGCGGTTCCACCACGACCGCGGTTCCACCGCGACCGCGGTAGAACCGCGTTGGAAGATAGCTGCGGATAACTTCAGATTCAGAGAAGGCATTTGGCCGTGGTTTGACCATGATTGCGGCAGAACCGCGGCGGAAGCAGAAAACTTCAGGGACTAAAGTGTAAAATACTGGATTTTTAGACCTAAACCCTATTTTAAATACAAGACTTCGCCCAAGAGAGGCAGGTATTGAATTTTAGAGTATCTTGGCAAGGAAAACAATTGTGAGAGATCACCCAAAACATCTTTCTTCTTTTCTTTGATTTTTATTGCTAGTTATGATGAATTCTATCTTAGTTTGTTTTTCCATAGCCATGAGTAGCTAAATCCTTTGTCTAAGGCTTTGATGGAACCTATTGGGGGATGAACATCTTGTTTATGTGAATACAAATTGCTAGTTTCAATCTCTATTGGTTCAACTTTGTGTTTGTTGTAGTTAATTGACAGGATCCTCAATTAGCTGTGCCTATTTAGTGTGCATAACTTGGAAAAGAGTGCATATTTAGGTTATTGTTGAACAACACCACTCCCAAAATATAAGAGGAATCTATAATTGCGGGTTTAAAGGCGGGATTAGGGATAACGAAGCCTTGAGTGTAATCTAAAGTGAATTGTGCTAAATAAAGTAAGCTAGTGTACCTCGGGAGAGTGCAGTTAGTATATTACTGTGATTACTCGGGAGAGATTTACGGTAAGATGAGCGTTCATGATTGATAGAGATTTGTGGTAAATTTGTATGAGCATAAACAGAAGGGATTCTTTCAATAGGGGAAATCATTGCCTTAGCTTCTTCTCATCATTGTTTACAACCTTAGCATTTTAGTTTACAACTGTTTAAATTACTTGCAATCGTAATTAGTAAAGCAACCTTCAACTGTGATTCAAACATCTGGGAAGCTGGTTCTGAAGAGTTTATTGGGTCTAAAGATAGTGATTGATAGATTAACTCTCTGTGGATTCGACCCTGGGCGTAATACTCGGGTTATATTTGCAACGTCCGCAGAGTCCTTTTTTTAGAGGGCATAATTGGGCGTGATCAGTTTCCATCTACAAATTTAATTTTACGTGGGAAAAAACGATAGTCAATTAATTTTGTTTTTTGTAATTTATTTTTACCAATTTTCTTTACACCTGAACTATGTAAAAGGATTTAAAACAAAATAAGTTTCTTTTACTATTTTCTCCTTTTTCTTTATTCGTTTCCCTTCTCTTATTTCGTTTGTCTTTCAAATAGTTGATGGAATTTCTGTCTTAGTAAAATAAATTTCTGAGTAAGCCGTAGTATAGGATAAACTTTTTGAAGAATTCCATGCTATGAATTCTGGTCAATTTTATAGTGCCTTGTGGAGAGAAGTTCCTCTTTCTTTTCGGTTATAGCTGGTACATGAAGAATTTAAAGTACGTTATTATCATGCATTTTTTGACCTCTTATACCTTATTCATGGTCGTAATTATTAGTGCAATTTTGTGAATATCTATTGCTTATATGCTTATATAACAAAAAAAAATTGTTGTGATTGTATTCAGAGATTGCGCCAATATTTTTTATTTATGAATCCTAATTCACGAATTTTTTTGTGAATATCTATTGCTTATATGAAAATAAAGGAGTTACTTGGCGAAAATTGATGGGAGCAAAATGTCTATATATGAAGAGTGTTAAAATGGAAAGCAGATTTACGAAAAATTAGCCGGAGGAAAATGAAGAATAAATACTAAATGCGCAGCAAATATCATTCACTTAAATGCTTATAAAAATATAGAAAACGAAAGTGCTATTTGAAAAATGTAACCAAATATATGTATTATTATAGGAAAAAATATAATATAAGGATTCTAAAGTTTCCTGAAAACATTTAACCGAGTTCTAAAATTAGTAAAAAATATTTTACTTTGAAATTTATCTTCTCCATAGAACGAGAAGAAACTAAAATAAACTATTAAGAGAAAAATAAAATTGAAATCTAACTTTTATGTACCAATAGAAAAATAGCTACATTTTTCTTAATTCTGTAAGTATTCAATCGTTTATTTTTTTTTTTATTATTTTCACTACTATGTGTTTATTGTTTAATTTTTTATTATTTTCACTGCTATGTGTATTAAGAATTCTAGAGAGTGTCACCAAGTCTTTTCAAACACAGTTGGTAATATTTTAAAAGAATGAATGGTTATAATAATGTAGGACGAGTTTATTAAAAAAAAAAAAAGAATGTAGACAACAGACTTAATGTGAGTGTTTACTTGCCTACATAATTGTTAGTATGACAGCAATAGACCATTGACATTATTTGTATTGATGAGGCTAATATTTCTCATAGTTTTCTTCGTCTACCTCGATCCAATTAACAAAAAAATATCCATAAATCCATTAATTTTCTCAGTTTTCTCTCTACCCAATTTATCATTGAAATTTTGACGGTTGTTGATCTGGTTGCACAGGTGTATGCCTAGAAATTCTACGAGGCCTGGAGAACTACTTGAAGGACTCTCAGACCCCGAGAAAATATTCCGGACATTGAATTGTGCTTACAAAAGACTTCAACAATCCCAACAAACACACAA